GAGCGAGGCCAGGATGGAGCCGCCAATCCAGACGGAGTACTTGCGCTCAGGGGGAGCAATGATCTGCACCACAAACAGCGAATGAGAACCTGCCTGTCTGGGTCCCACCTCCCACCCACAGGTGCGAGGCCTGCTCAGACTGGGCAGCAGCCACTCACCTTAATCTTCATTGTGCTGGGAGCCAGGGCTGTGATCTCCTTCTGCATCCTGTCAGCAATGCCGGGGTACATGGTGGTGCCGCCAGACAGCACCGTGTTGGCATAGAGGTCTTTGCGGATGTCCACGTCACACTTCATGATGGAGTTGAAGGTGGTCTCGTGGATGCCACACGACTCCATGCCTAGGGGACACAGCTCATTTACACACTAACTTCCGTGTGATCCGTCCCTTCCAAGGTGACAAGAGCCCGTGGCTCCTGCACCATGTTCAGGACACCTACCCAGGAAGGAAGGCTGGAAGAGCGCCTCTGGACACCGGAACCGCTCATTGCCAATGGTGATCACCTGCCCATCAGGCAGCTCATAGCTCTTCTCCAAGGAGGAGGAGGATGCAGCAGTAGCCATTTCCTGCTCAAAATCCAGGGCAACATAGCACAGCTTCTCCTTAATGTCACGCACAATTTCCCGCTCAGCCGTGGTGGTGAAGCTGTAGCCCCTCTCAGTCAGGATCTTCATGAGGTAGTCTGTCAGGTCCCGGCCAGCCAGGTCCAGACGCAAGATGGCGTGGGGAAGGGCGTAGCCCTCGTAGATGGGCACTGTGTGTGTGACCCCGTCACCAGAGTCCATGACAATGCCAGTGGTGCGCCCGGATGCATACAGGGACAGCACCGCCTGAATGGCCACGTACATGGCTGGGGTATTGAAGGTCTCAAACATTATCTGCAGAGAAACAAAGAAAAACATCTCAGTGAGGGGCTGAGACCCAGAGCCACCCACACCCACACACTACATGCTTGCATGCCACAAATGTGATGTGTGAAGGATTAAAAAAAAAAAAAAAAGAACAGAACGCAGGCAGAAACGCAAACAGAAACCTGGAGGCTTCAGGGAGGAAATGCCAGGAGAGGAGGAACAGAGCCCTAGAAACACCAAAGAAACACTTGAATATCAGGAAATGAGGCAAAGAAAGGAAACGACTGGTGGGGCTCAAGGGCGGCAGAGGCCCGGACTTGGGCATACCTGCGTCATCTTCTCTCTGTTCGCTTTGGGGTTCAGGGGGGCCTCGGTCAGGAGCACGGGGTGCTCCTCGGGGGCCACGCGCAGCTCGTTGTAGAAGGTGTGGTGCCAGATCTTCTCCATGTCATCCCAGTTGGTGACAATGCCGTGCTCGATGGGGTACTTCAGGGTCAGGATGCCTCTCTTGCTCTGGGCCTCGTCACCCACGTACGAGTCCTTCTGGCCCATGCCCACCATGACGCCCTGGTGCCGGGGGCGCCCGACGATGGAAGGGAACACGGCCCTGGGGGCGTCGTCGCCAGCAAAGCCAGCTTTGCACATGCCGGAGCCATTGTCAATGACGAGCGCGGCGATTTCTTCTTCCATTGCGATCGGCGAAGGACGGGGCGGCGGAGCAGCGGGAAGACACACAGCGCAGGCCGGCGGCGGAGTGTGAGCAACCATTATTCTTAAAAGAAAAAAAAATTAGATGTATGTGTGTTTTGCCTACATGTGAGTAAGTGTGAGTGCCTGGTGGCCATAGAAGCCAGAGGAGGACATCAGATTTCCTAGTACTGGGGTTGTGAACCACCATGTGGGTGCTGGGAATGGGACCCTGGCCCTCTGCAATAGTAACAAGTCCTCTTAACAGCTGAGGCACCTCTCCATCTCCTAACCAGTATTTATTCTTTAGAGACTATTTTAAAAATTGTATGTGCCAAACAGCTCTTACCACAGAGGAGTAGAGATGGTTCATTCTGGAGTGTTGGCCTGGGGACACAGACTAGGTTTCCTTAAACTCCATGCTCCAATGAGGTAGCAATTCCATGACCCTTTTATAGTAGTGAAACAGAGAAAGTCATACAATAACACACTTTTCAAACACATTTGTGGGTACATGGGTAGGTGGGTCACAGAAAAGCCGGAACTCTGCTGTAGGCCTTGGATGCTGACTGCATTATTAGCCCTTTGGTTGGCTGGGAATAAAGGGGTCTGTTGGTACATCTCAAATGACCTATCCAATGGTCTCAAAAATGTTACGTGAGGCACAGAGGAAGGCAATAATGGCTGTTAAGGGCACCAAAGATGGCCCAAGATGATATGGCTGTGGGCTGTGGCATTCCATCCTCTCCACATTCTGAATCTCTCTTTTTTTGTTTTTTGTTTTTGCTTCTGTTTTTGTTTTTGTTTTGAGACAGGTTTCTCTGTGTAGCCCTGGCCATCCTGAAACTTGCTGTGTAGAGCAGGTGGCCTTAAACTCAGAGATTTGCCTGCCTCTGTCTCCTGAGTGCTGGGATTAGAGGTGTGCACCACCACTGTCCTGTTCATCCTGAAGTTCTAATCTGTCAATAAACCTGTTTGGACATAGTTTCTTCCAGGAATTTTTGTTCACAAGTATATGTGTACATATGTGCTTTTGGGTGTGGAAGTGACTGTCCATGTGTATCACGGTGTGTGTGTGTGTGTGTGTGTGTGTGTGTGTGTATGTGTGTATGTGTGTGTGTGTATGTGTGTGTATGTGTGTGTGTATGTGTGTGTGTATGTGTGTATGTGTGTATGTGTATGTGTGTGTGTTAGTGTGTATGTATGTGTGCATATGTGTGTGTGTGTGTATGTATGTGTGTGTGTGTGTGTGTGTGTGTGTGTGTGTGTGTGTGTAGCTCAGAAGACAACTTGGTGGTGTTCTGGGGATGCAGCTTAGGCCACCATGCTTGCTGGGCATAGAGGAACCTCAACTAGGCCAAAACATTAACTTACATCATTGAGAAGAACTGACAAACATTTCACAGACATTAAAGACCTATTTGCCTGTTTGAGTGTGGAATCTATAGTCAGCCCTCTGTATCTGTGGACTCAGAGTTAAACAAATGAAGAGTTAAAACTGAAAAAAGCTGGGTTGTGGTGGCACACACCTTTAATCCCAGCACTCGGAGGCAGAGGCAGGTGGATTTCTGTGAGTTTGGGATCAGCCTGGTCTACAAGAGCCACTCAGCCTCCCCTTCTGCCACTGAGGAGACTTAGGCTGTCACTGCTGTTGCTGATGCCCTCACTGGACTGGTGTCTCTGGGCCTCTTCTGTCTTTGAGTAAGGACAAGCACCTCTCCAGGAACCCTTTAGGCACTAGATTGTGGCCGCTGAGGCACTCAGTTTTGTGGACTGAGCTATTACCAGGCTCTCAGCTGTCAGGTGAGATTAACTTTAGAGGGCTCTAATACCAGCTGTTGTTCAATCACACTCTGACTTTCTCCCAAGTTGTGACTCTCTCTCAAAGCTGGGAATAGAGTAGCTTTAAAGTAGAGAAACCAGACAAACACGACCTCAGCCAGGTGGTTGAGCACATTGTTAGTGTGTCCCCCGTGATGTGATGAGATGGGAATGGCACTCTACCTTGAAGATGCTCCAGCCTAAACCACATATGTAATGAGAGGTTCTTTGTCGTGGAAGGGTCCCACCACCCTTGAGAGACTCACTGATACCAGCCCAGCTAGCTCAGTCAGTAGAGCATGAGACTCTTAACCTCAGGGTCATGGATCGTGCCTCACGTTGGGTGCCATTTTGTAACGAGAGCTTTCTGGCCTGGCTGTTCCCGATGCCCTGCTCAGCCCCAAATAAACACACAGATGCTATATTAATTATAAATTTGTTGGCTTATGACTAGGGCTTCTTATTGGCTAGCTCTGTCTTAATTATTAACCCATTTCTATCAATCTATGTATTGCCACGAGGCTGTGGCTTACCTGGTAATGCCCTGGTATGATGTTACTCCCTTGGCAGCATCACGACTCTGTCAGGGCCTGCCTACCTTTCCCAGAATTCTCCTAGTCTCCTAGCCCTGCCTATCTTCCTGCCTCATTGGCTGAACAGTGTTTTATTCATCCAACAATAAGAGAAACATATACAGAAGGACATCTCCCATCACAATAAGCCTGGTTTAACTAGGGGGAAAAAACAGACCAATACCGACAGAGCTGTTTCTACAAAACACCAGACCAATACTCGTTAAAGATGTCAAGATTATAAAAATGAGAGGGGCTGGTGAGATGGGTTAGCTGATGAAGAGGCTTGCTGTGAGCCTGATGACCTGAGTTTGATCTGCAGAGTCCTTATTGTGGAAGGAGAGAACTGACTCCCAATAGTTATTTTCTGATGTTTATGTGACCACCATAGTACATCACACACACACACACACACACACACACACACACACACACACACACACACACACACACACACACACACACACACACCCCAAATATTAAATGTAACAAAACAGAGAAAGTCTAAAAATTATTTAGGGCCAGGCCCAGTGTCAGGAGGCACAACTAATAAAGTTAACGGTCTTAGTCACCATTCTATTGCTGTGAAGAGACACTATGATCATAGCAACTCTTATGAAAGAAAGCATTTAATTGGGGCTGGGTTATAGGTTCAGAGGTTTAGTCCATTTTCATCATGGCAGGGAGCATGTTGGCACACAGGTTGCTGGAGAAGGAGCTGAGAGTTCTATATTCAGATCTGCAGGCAGCAGGAAGAGAGACACTGGGTCTGACACTTTTGATATCCCAAAGCCCACGCCCAGTAACACAGTCCTCCAACAAGGACACACCCATTCAAAAAGGGCACACCTCTTAATCCCTCTCAGCTAGTGCCACTCTCTGATGATCAAGCACTCAAATATATGAGCCTATGGGGGGCATTCTTATTTAAACCATGACAGTGACATGCCATCCAAAAGAGGAGAGAGACAGCAGCAAAGCCTAAAGAAATCCAGGGGAAACAGGTTCCTCTGCAAGGGCAGTAAGTGCTCTTAGCTACTGAGTCATCACTCCAGTCCTAGACAAGTCTACTCTAGACCAGCCAGGATGACCTTGTCAGGTGTTCAATCTTCTTTTCCTTCCTTCCTTTCTTTCTTTCTTTCTTTCTTTTTTTTTTTTTTTTTTTTTTTTTTTTTTTGGTTTTTCGAGACAGGGTTTCTCTGTGGCTTTGGAGGCTGTCCTGGAACTAGCTCTTGTAGACCAGGCTGGTCTCGAACTCACAGAGATCCACCTGCCTCTGCCTTCGAGTGCTGGGATTAAAGGCGTGCGCCACCAACGCCTGGCTCAGGTGTTCAATCTTAATGATAACAGGTACCAAAGACACAGAACCAAAACCTCAAATAACATCTTTTCTCTTCTGGGTGTTTTGTCCCCCTAGGGCCTGGCAAGAGACCAGAGAGGCAGCAGAGGTGGGGAGAGGTGGTACCTAAGGAAGCTCAAATGAGTGTGGTTGAGTAGGAGTCGTAGGGACTCCCTCACTGTCACACCATTTATTAAGTTGATCTATAAGTCTTATTGGAGTCTCTATCTATTTGCTTTCTCATTCCTCTCTTCCACCGTGCCTCTCTTTTCTCTCCTTTTCCTTCCTCCTCTCCCTCTCTCTTTCTCTCCCTCTCCCCCTTTCTCCTTCCTTTCTTTCTATAGCATGCCACATATCTCAGGCTGTCCTTGAACTCAATAAGTAGTTGGGGATGACTCTGAACTTCTGATCTTCCTGCCTTTACCTCATGAGTGCTACTATTGTAGGTTTGTGCCACCAGTCCTGGTTATGAAGTGCTGGGGGTTGAATTCAGGGCTTTGTGCGTGCCAGGCAAGAACTCTGTAGCAATAACTCTTTCTTCCAGCTGCCTGAATTCCCCTGCCACATTATGGCTCCCAAATAACATACAGAGTCTTATGTTAGTTACAATACTGCTGGCCAATGACTAGGATTTCTTTTCTTTCTTTTTTTGGTTTTTTAAAACAGGGTTTCTCTATGGCTTTGGAGGTTGTCCTGGTGAAGGGACCGGCTCCCCATTTTGGCAGCCATAACAGCCTAGCACGTGCTTGCCTGACCTTGCCTTGGTCACTAGGAGGTCAGATGCCTGTCTGGTGGCAAGGGACCAATCAAAAGTTAGCTGGTGGTGCTATGCTTTACAGCTCTGGGTGTGCTTTACAGACAAGTGCACAATAATGACATGCAGAGCATAGCAACACCCCTGTGAGGGGCTATGGGCCATAACAACCAGTTGACCAATCAACACAGGGCAAACCCTCTAAGCCTGGAGGCACACTGATTCTGAGTCTGTGCATAACTCTAGACACTCCCCTTATGCTGCCCTATAAGATCTCTATGCAGAAGTCTTTCCTAGCCATCTGCCATGGAGGATGGGTGAAAGGCCCGAGCTAACAAGAGGTTAGCTCATTAAACAACTGCAATAAAACCTCATGCTGTTTGCATCAAGTTTCCACCCCACCTGGTGATTGGGGTGGCCACGGTCCTGGGACGAGATCCTGGGGGCCTGAGCCTCCGGGGTCTTTCACTGGAACTAGCTCTTGTAGACCAGGCAGCTCTTGAACTCAGAGATCCACCTGCCTCTGCCTCCTGAGTGCTGGGATTAAAGGTGTGCACCACCACCCCCCCAATCCACTAGGATTTCTTATATGCTA